GGTTAGAATGCCTCGTGGCATTCTGTATCAACTTTTGAAAACTTGCTCCTCAATTTTATGCGATATCATTTTGAGATATTTCATGAAACGCGCGTAGTGTGTACTTACGGGAAGATAGATTATTTTTGTAATGTCTAAGCATAATGAATTTAATAAAGTTATATTATTAATCTCATCTCTCTTGAATTAAAATACCGTATTTTTTATACAAAATCGTAAAAATGACCAAATAAACTATTTTATATAAAATAAATTATTTAGTTATTTCTACAAAAAAATTTTTTTTAATCAACGAAAACAGTAAGTTGAAATAACTAAATTTTATTTACGTCAACAGAACATTTTTTTTCATTCTAATAAATGTATTTATTACGTAGACTAAATTATTTGGTTACACCTACTAAATAATTCAATTGAGCGAAATTTAACGGTTGGACAAAAAAATTTAGTACTCCCAACCAAACGGGTTAGTTGCACATATATCAAATAAAAAATTTGGTAGGGACAACCAAACTTTGATACATGATACCAAACAGTTTTCTCAGTGTAAATAATAAATAAATTTATTTTCCTATTTTAAGTAGTAAAATCTAATGAACCACTTTCAATAATAAAGTTTACTACTTGAAGTAGTATTTTCGTTTGCAAAATATTTATTAATTGTACAAAAAAAATGTTCTTAAAGCATATTGAACCACTTTAAGTAGTAAAATCTACTACTTACATCTTGAGTTGTTTTAAAATTTTTGAATTGAGTTAATGCAATGACAGAATGTCATTCTATTAATTACATTCTTAATTGGTTTAACTATTTTTATATATGTAGTCAATAGAACCTTTTAAAATCAATTGAGGATCTATTGTTCTACGCAGAGTAATTAAAAAGTAGTAAAACCTACTAGTTTTTTTTAGAGTGTTAATTTTTATTTCATATTTAAAATACAGAAGAAAAATCGAACAAATTTCATATATGAGGCAAAATTCCTCATGTGATCCAACTTTAAAATTGAAGGTTTTCGGATCGTGCTGAAATTTGCATAAACTTTAGTACTATGGGTGAGTACTTTACCCATAAATTGTTTTTTTATCTGTTAGTAGGACAGAGAAAAACACATTACAAAATTAAATTAATAATTGTTTATAAAACATTAAATACAAATCATTTATCCGTAAATGACTTGTACCGTCTCCTCTATTACATACTGCACGTCAACATGTATGGATTCATACTATCACACACTTTTCCAAAAATATGGAAGGTTGTTTTAAAAAAAATTACGTATTAAATTATAAATAAGTAAGTTTTGAAAATTATTGAAATAAAAATTTTTTATTAAAAAAAAATTTATTTAATTTTTTTAACCAACTAAATATTATTATTTTTATTTATGTTTGAAATAAATAATAATAATAATATATAATTAAATAATATAGTAGTATAATATAGAAACTATAAATGATCCTATCCTAATTCCCGACATCGGTTCCGATATAACTTCCCATATAAAAACCGATATAGTTTCCGATATCAGTTCCTATATATTTTTCGATATGTTCTTCTATATCAGTTTCTATATAATATCAGGGACTGTCACCTGCACGAAACTATACAGTATATGATGATCGTATCTAGTCGGGTTCAAGACACTATACAATTAGTAATAGATGAAACGTATCGTGTCCCCACACGATACGATTAGTAAAGAGGGCAAAAGTATTGGGCCCAGGCACGATACTATTTTTGGTGAAAGAAACGTATCGTGCCCACACACGATTAGTAAATAGAAGGAAAGTATCGGGTATACGATTAGTAATGGGTTGAAAGTGTCGTGACTGACACGATACAATTTGTAATTTTAGAATCGTATAGTTTCACAAAATACTTAATTATATTATATTATATTATATTATATTATATTATAATATTTTCTGAGTATATATGTTTTAAAAATTTAATTTGTCATAAAAAATAGATTTTGTTATAAAATAATCTAATAAATTTAAAATAAGTTCCCCATTTACTGTTTAGATTGTTTATAAACAAGATACGATTCTCAAGTCTTTATTCGTATCGTACCCGGATACAGTACGATTCCCTAAATCATTTTACGTATCGTATCTGGACAACATACAAATCTCAAGTCACTATTGGTATCGTACTCGGACACGATACGATTGTTCCGTGACAGTCTCTGTATAATATATAGATTTCGTTCTTGGAATTTTCGATAGGGTCGCGTATTCGTAGTATTCGTAATTGCTGGGCTAATACTTCTAAATACTTTTTAATGCGAACGGCGTCATTCCAGTACTTAATCGCATAAACTTGTGTTCACTTTTATGTGACGCAAAACTTTTTAAAGCGAAGCGCCGAAAGTAATATTAACATTTGATTTGACGAAATTAAATGCGAACGAATGCTTTTTAATGGCTCCTCAACGCATCTACAAATGTAATAAAGTAATTAAAAACGCGCGCTTTAGATTTCCAATATAGAAATTTTTATCTGCGTAAATGAGGTATGTTGCTCTACGAACATTGTAGAAGAGCGCAATTGAAAAGTTTTTTCATGAATTTTTGGGAATATAAATTTAAAATTAAAATGATAATTTAGTTTTCCAAATTTAGAAAACTAAAAATATTTCTTTCTAAAAAATTACTTAAAAAGTTTCTGCACGGAGAAAATCTGAAAGCACTGAGTATTTTTTCTCACAGCACTGGCTACTGCGTACACCAAAAAATTAAATTCCAGAGTTCTAAAAGTTCTCCACACAGCACTGAATGCTCTGCAGAAAATAATCACAACTTTTTTTGACAGTAATCAGAGTTTTGTTTTATATTAGTTGGCAACAGATTATTCAGAGCTACGAATGTAGCAATAAATTCTTTGCTCGAAGTCGTGAGTGCTGTTCTCACAGCTCTGAGTACTGTGTAGAATTATTTTTTAGAATTTAGAAAACAAAGGAACGTTTAACGTCAATTAAAAGGAAGATAGCCATGGTTATTTTTTCTTGTCAAATATTAATTTTAATTGGCATGTTTATAACCAGTTAATGAATAACAGAAATAAAGAAATGAAGAATTTAAAAAGTCTTTTTAAAAACTATCGGTTTAAAATTTTTTTTTAGTTATATAGCAAATAAAGTTATTATATTATAATGAAATAATAAATAATTATTTTTAAAATAAATTACTATAGGTAAATTTTAAATATTTATTTGTATTTCACAAGTTTTGAGATTTTAAGATTTCTTAGCTAATATCAAATTACAACCTAATCTAAATTTATAGATAATTATGATTAAAAAATAATAAGTTTCAACATTATTATTTTAAATATTTATCTCTTGAAGTAAAAAAATATAAATAATCTTAGTCAAATAATCTGTTTTTCATAAAAATATTAGAAAACATCTAAAATTGATTAAAATTGTCTTGAACGCTTGTTAAAAATTGTTGTCTATTTTTTATTAAAGGTTTAATGTTCTTTCATTTCTTTAATCCTAAAAAATAATTCTACACAGTACTCAGAGCTCTGAGAACAGCAGTCACAACTTTGAGCAAAGAATTTATTGCTACATTCGTAGTTCTCAATAATCTGTTGTCAACTAATATGAAACAAAACTCTGATTACTGTCAAAAAAAGTTGTGATTATTTTCTGCAGAGCATTCAGTGCTGTGTGGAGAACTTTCAGAACTCTGGAATTTAATTTTTTGGTTTACACAGTAGCCAGTGCTGTGAGAAAAAATACTCAGTGATTTCAGATTTTCTCCGTGTGCTTCGTTTATAAAAAAGATTTTAATTTTTTTTGGTCAAAAACATTTTTACTCCTCTTGTATCACAAACGTTTCTAGTTTTTAATATTAAAAAATGTTGCTTTCTTTTGTTTTGAACAATTTTTTTTTTATCTTGAAATTTTTTTAAGTCTAGCACTGTTCCATAAACATTGTAAGTGAATTTTAAAGTTTAAAAATAGTACAGTTACATAATTAGGGGTGCATGATTATTCCATAAAAATTATTAGTGAGAATTTTCATTTTCAACAATTTCATTACATATAATTATTTTTTACACGAATTTTCATTTTTCCAATTAACATTTGACAGAATTACGTTTTAAACAAATTTTTACTTAACATAATTCTTATATATCGAAATTTTATTTGGCAGAATTCTTAAAACGCCGAATTTTCATTTGTCCGAAATTGCAAATGTCCGAACAAACAATCGACAGAAAGATTTTGGCGCGATTTATAAAATCAACCATTCAAAAATTATCCATAAAATTATGATTGGTTGATTTTAAACATCGCGCCAAAATCTTTCTGTCGATTGTTTGTTCGGACATTTGCAATTTCGGACAAATGAAAATTCGGCGTTTTAAGAATTCTGACAAATAAAATTTCTGTGCCTAAGAATTCTGTTAATTAAAAATTCTTTAAAAAAGAAATTCTGACAAATGTTAATTTGAAAAATGAAAATTCGTGTAAAAAATAATTATATGTAATGAAATTGTTGAAAATGAAAATTCTCACTAATAATTTTTATGGAATAATCATGCACCCCTAATTATGTAACTGTACTATTTTTAAACTTTAAAATTCACTTACAATGTTTATGGAACAGTGCTAGACTTGAATTACTGATTTACAAACAAAACTTGAATTTTACATGGAGAAAAAAACAAATAAACAAAGTTTTTTTACACAAGAACTTCCTTGCCTTAATATGTAAATTTTTGTCATTTGTGATTATTATTGACAAAATTCAAAAAAAAACTTTTAGTCCATTTACGATTTCTATTTTTAAAAAATTACATATGTGACGCAATATAATAATAGTATTATTGTATTAAATTATGTACTTTAATTAAGTTTTGTAACAAACCTAAATCATAACTGATAGTTAAAAAAATATTTTACAATGTTAAACTTGTATAAATGTGTATAAATAAAGGTTAATTAATCCGAAATACTACACCAATTTCATACGAATCATACCTTAAGTTTTTCACGTGTATCAAACTTTTATACCCATTAGAATTGTCTATAGTTGTATAAAGTAATTTTTTTAGTTATTAAATGATTAACTCTTGTTTACAGCGCAATGCTGTCAGCTGTGTCAGCAGAAAACGTGAAAAATGAAAGTAGAAAATCTGTTTAGGTTAGTACCACGGTTAGTACAAATTGTTACCTTCTGAATGTGGTTCTACAATAAACTAATAGTGGGAACACTGAACTCTATATATCTGGAATACTGTCTGACATTAATCTTGTAACGCTCCTCTGCCCACGGCTGGGTAGAGTACCGTAATATTTAAATTTAATTTGATATCTTGTTTTAAGAGCACTGAGTACTAGTCTTAATTTTAAGAAGGAGAGAAAGAGAGAGAAACAAAGAATAATGAATTGACATAAATAAGAAAAACAGAGTTAGAGACAGGTAAATTATAAGAAAATTGTGTAAAAGACAAAGAGAAATATGTATGATAAGTAAAGGCAAGGTGTAAAAAAAGGGATATAAAATAAAGATAGAGAAAGGAGTAGATAAAGATAAGATATAAGAATGAAAGATATGTAAAAAAGAAAATAGTTATAAGAAGAATTAATAAATATATAAAAGATGAATTTAAGAATAAAAGTAATAAGAAATTAAACAATAGTAATAAAAGTATGCAAGAGTGAAAAGAGTTTCAAATAAAGGTATGATATTAGATTAAAGGGTACTTAGGAAGGGTTTTCTGCAGTTTCCCCTTTCCTCTGAAGGATTGTTTCAGGTAAATGCGAGTACCTATTTTTGAAATCGGCTGCAGACGTCGAAAGGACTTAAGAAATAATGTAATTAAGGTCCTTTTGCAATGAATCTGAGTTTTTTCAATTAGACATTGTTATTTTGTAACTAATTAATTATTTTGCAATTAATATAAATATAAAGGGTTATTGTATAATAAATTAGCGTAAAAAGGGTTAAAATAAGCTGAAGGGAAGTTTAATTATAAAGGGATAATTATCAATTCAAGGATGTAATGCAGACACGAATGAGTCATAATATAAAATCAAGCATGAGTCATACTTCTACTTGACAATAACAAGGTCAAGCATGAGTCATACTTCTGCTTGACAATAACAAGGTCAAGCATGAGTCATACTCCTACTTGGCAATAACAAGGTCAAGCATGAGTCATATTCCTACGCGACAATAACAAGGTCAAGCATGAGTCATACTCCTACGCGACAATAACAAGGTCACAGTGACGTCCAAAATAGAATATGACTCATGGGGATGAGGCAAACAAGGTCAAATGGGGCGGAGTATTACTAAATGCATGTCTCTAATTGGAGGAATTGTTAAGCGTGAGTCATCACTGCGAAGCAGGATTCGTTGGTACATTTAGACTCAGATTGGAAGAAAAGTGGGAATACTGCTATAAAAGGAGGATGATCGAGGTTGCTAGCCAGAGAGAGAAAGAAAGTCAGGAAGAAATGAAAGGGTTATTCTGATACTATAGAGAAGTCAAGATACAGAGATAGAGATTTTGGTTCTGACTCTGACTCGAATTTAAAAATATAGATAAAGCTCAAATCCAAGTTTAAAATTTAAGGCGAATAGTGTAATTTTATTATTAGTTTAAGGATAAAAGGGAAGAACTCAGATTTAAAATAAATTGTTGAATAAAACAATTAATATATTTAATCTTAATTATGTTTTATTTAATCCTCTCAACAAGTTAATCCTTCAGGATTTTAATGAGATTCGAAATCATTCAAAAGAACTAAAGTGAAGTTAAAAGAAAAGTATAAATAATTAACAATTTAATTAAACAAAAACTAAGTGAACTTCTATAATATTTATCCTAATAGTGTTGTGAAAACACCTTTAATCAACGTCGGTTGTTCTTGTGCAGTTCCATCTACGAAAATCATATTCAAGACTATCTATTCTTGTAACATTGATATTGTAGACGAACCTTTAATCAGTTTTAAAGGTGCTTATATACCTCAAATTTCGATCAGATGAACATTATTTCTGGACCGTGAAAATGCGTGAAAAGTCATTTTCACGGCGGGTATTTTTGAATTGTTTTAAACAAAAAATGTTTTTTTTAAGAAATATAATATTAAATAATTGTTTTAGTATGTAAGAACACTTTAAAATAATGATAGAGAGATGATTTGATTAAAAAATTTAGCAAATTTTGCTTTAAAACGTTTTCTGCTACAAGAAAGTGTAAAATGACGATGTTTGTGAAATGGTTTGTACAGTGCTTCTTCCTTGTTAGTGTCTCTCAGAGTTTTGTTTATGTTATGTCGGTTCTTTTTAACTTGTAATAAATAATGAGTGCTGAAAATAAATCGTTAAGTTGAAATGTTTATCAAATAAATTTAAATTCAACTAATTGTTTCGAATAACTGAAAGACACATGTACACATGTACACTGTACAAACCATTTCACAAACATCGTCATTTTACACTTTCTTGTAGCAGAAACGTTTTAAAGCAATATTTGCTAAATTTTTCAATCAAATCATCTTTTTATCACTATTTTAAAGTGTTCTTACATATTAAAACAATTATTTAATATTATATTTCTTAAAAAAAACATTTTTTGTTTAAAACAATTCAAAAATACCCGCCGTGAAAATGACTTTTCACGCATTTTCACGGTCCAGAAATAATGTTCATCTGATCGAAATTTGAGGTATATAAGCACCTTAAAATTCCTGCGTGTTACAATCTGCCGAGGTGTGACCGTACCCTAAGTTCCCACTTACGTACCCGACCACTTGTGCGTAGGCCTTTACATTACACCTCCATGTGATTTTTAACCCCTTTATTATTGTTACTCTTATCTTTAATTCTATTTGAAATGATGAAAACTATTAGATTATATTTTTCGACTAAATCAATGGCACGAAGAAGAAGCTTGTTGAAATATCGAAGAAAAGGAGAAACTCCAAATCCTGGCATGGATAATAGATTGAAAAAATTAAATGACAATCAAGATGAAAACCAAAATTATGATTTTGATAATCTTCCAGAAGATGTTGATGATTTAGAACCTAATTTCCTTGAAGTTGGTAAATCATATAAAATTCATGAGCGGTTAGTATTTTAATTTTTTTTAAACTTAACCTTTAAATGAAAAAAATTAGTGTAACCATAAGCCCTTACTGACATTTTTTAAATTCGAATAAACTTTCAAATATTGTTTTAATGTCCTTTGAATAATTTTTGACTCAGTTATATTTTATTTTTACATATTTACTTTAAAATTGTAATTTTGAAAGTTGACTTGCTTTGAAGAAGCATTTAATAAAAGAAAGTGTATTACATCTGCCTTTAGACAAAAACAAATAACCTCAAAAATGTATGTCTATTGAGTATGCTGCGTTCAAATCCAGATTAAATAAAAGACTATAAATTAATTAACATTTTATTGCTTCCTCATAGAAGAAGTATTGTTTTCACGAAAAAATTCGAATGCATTTTTTGGCCATATTTTATATTTTATTTATAAAATAAATTATAAATTGAACATAAATAATGTTTATATTCATTCTTTATAAAAACAATATTTTCAATTAAATGCAAAAATAATTCAACTAAATTGGAGTCCACATTCTCCCAATTTTATTTTAAACAAATAATTAAAAAAATTAATTTTAAGAAATAAACTAAAGAATTATTAATTGAATACAAGATAAAAAATATATACAGGGTGTTCAAAAAGTATGGAAACTTGCAAATATCTTGAAAAGTACGCATTTTCGTGAAAAATGTTCATCAAAAAAGTTGTTCCAACAAAAAGATCTACATTTTTGAAGCCAAAAAATTTGGCCCGGGTCCCAATGTGAGGCCGTGCAGTGCAAATAGAATTATCACGAAAATGCGTACTTTTCGAGATATATATAAATTCAAAATTAATGCTTTCATTCTTTGACCATTCGAAATATTTGTATCTGAAGACGAAGCAGAATTCTTATTTTTGTGATCTCCCAAAAATTTGAGGTTTTTGCAGATATTTTAATATAAACTATTAAAGCTTTGCTTTCATTACTAGATATTAAATTTAGAAATTTTTACATAAAAATGTTAATATTTTATTGTTAAAGTATCACTTGAAGTTAATTGATTAATATTTCTTTCTTGTAATTTAAATATTAGAGAATTGAAAATTAACTTTTAAAAATAAAAATTTTTTAATTTTATATTTCCCAAACGAAGCAAAACAACTATGACAAGTTTAAATAGCAACTAAATTACATCAATATTAAAACATCTGCAAAACCTCAAAGTTTTAAAAGATCCCAAAAAAAGTTAAAAACTCCGATAAATATAAAAAAAATTTAAATACAAATATTATTTTAATGAAAAACAATTCTGCACCAATTTTATAATTTTTTAGTACAAAATCAAGAATTTTATACTTGTGGTACTTTGAATAATAATTTTTTTTTAAAAGTGAAAAATTTCTGGTTACAAAATAAGGTCCCAAACCTCCTGCTTTTAATTATTAATTTTATACCAAAAATAAAAATTGAAGGTATAATATTATGATTAATGAACTAAGAAAATGTTTAAGTTTAACACATTACAAAACTAGATTGTTTAAAAATTTGACCGCGACGACTCTCACAACGAAAGTCTCGAAATGTATGGACTGACTCATTTATAAAATTCTTTGATAAATTAGAATGTATTTTTTCATTTGAAATTTAAATTTAAAAAAAATGAACTTTTACAAATGCTATGTTTTTAATATGAAAGAACATTGTAAATAGGAAGATTATGTTCAATTTGTAATAAATTAACCCTAGAAGGAAATTGTCTAGACACCCCAGCAAAATTCAAATTTCGACAAATTTGGCAAATTTTTCGTTTTTGCAAGTTTTTTTCAACTTTTTTTTATTTTATCAAAAAGTCAATAAAACTATTGTTTTCTTTACTAAAAAACCAATAAAAATCACTGTATATAATTAGTTTTATGTCAAATAGAAACCTTTCTACACAAGTTTCAAGTTACCCTTTAGAGGGTGAGAAAATTCAATTACTTTTTCTAGGGTTAATTTATATTCAAAATAATATTGTTTTATAATTTGTTTGAGAGATGATAATTGGGAAAATGTCCTATCCTTGAAATTTGAATTTTGAGAAATCTTTTTACAAAATTCTCTTGTACTTTTATAATAAAAAAATTAACAACTCAGGGTGGCCAGTGGAGGAGGTTTTTATTATTGAAAAAACTTATTTAAGTTGAAGAATTATCGATTATATTGATCTTATATTAAATTTTCTTTTTTATTTTTCAGAGAACTCGAAAGAAGGAAGGAAATATTAAAAACTCAAATTACTTTAGATAGATATGTGAAAGATATGGAGCCGAGTTTTTTAACATTTGCTGAAAAAGAACAAATAAAACATCTTCATAAAAGTAATCCGTATGAATGGACTGTTGAAAAGTTGAGTGAAAGTTTTCCAGGATTACCTCACAATATTAAAAAAGTTTTAAATACTAAAGGTACTATCAAATCAAAAAATTATATTTTACAATACGACCAAAAAGTTGCTGAAAACTGGATAGCTTTTCGTGAAGGAGAATTGTCTGTAAGTTCAATGATGACAAAACACCTTCAAAAATTTAGTGGCAGGCAAATAATTTTCACCGATAAAGATAAATTAGCAGAGCATTTTATACCACCTAAGGTAGAATTTCCAAAACCAAAAAGTAAATTATTTTCAACAATTGCTGAGAAATTTTTATTGAACAAATCTACAACTAAATCTGATTCGAACAACGATAACACTAATGACAAGAAAGAAGAAAATAATAATGACAAATATATATTTCAAGCTAAAAAACAAAATGAATTTTTTGATGAGCATAATCACGTTCAGAATTCAGAGTTTTCAAACAATACTCAAGTTAATGAACTCATTTTGCCCCCGCAAAAAGAAAGAACAGTCTCAATTTCTGAAATTTCTGAAAATGTTCTTGAAGACAAAATTAGACTAAAAAGACGAATAACTTTTGACGAATTTTTGAAAAGCAATGTGGACCGTACGGAAAATTCAAATTGTGTGGAAGACATAGTTTTGAAAGAAATTTATAAAAATCAAATAGAAAAAAATACTTTATCTGAAAGCAAAATTTATTCATCACCAAAATTAAATGATGATGAAATTTCTGAATCTAAAAGTTCCGAAATTCCTCAATCATTTCAAAAGGAAAAAACGAACCTAGAATTAGATTATTTTAAAAAGCCCGAAAACAATAATTCCATTCTATCACAAAAGACAGAAGTAAGTCCCATGCCAAAAGAAAAAAATTATGAAATCACGTTAGGGTCAAATAGAAGTAGTTTAGACACTTACGTAAAAGAATGGCATAGAAATAATATCGATGAAGTTAAAGTTGCTCATTATATAAAAATTCCACAACGGAGATATAAACAAGGAATGACATACAGAGTGAAAGATTGTTTCTATGATGACGATGGAGAATTTTTATACCGCGTTCCAGGATTACTCATTGTGAAGTGATTCATATGTTAAAAACAATTTATTATACATAAGATTTTAGTTCAATTTTGAAAAGTAACTTTATTGTAAATAACTTTTTAAAATACAAACAAATTAAAATGTTAATATTTATAAAATGTTTGAATAAACCACCTTTATATTTAGTGAACATTTCAAAATATAAAGGTATAAAAACATTTTTTATTATTTTGTACATATATTCCTTATACAAAGGTATATACAGATTGGTATAGAAAAGGTATCTTTTCTGAAAGAATTTTAAATTATTATTAAAACTATCCAATACAAAATAAAATTATTAAGACTGATAAAAGGAACCACTGATTTCGTAAACAAAACAAGAGGGGTTCTCTAGGGGGAACTGCTTAGTCCTCTATTCTTTATACTATTTATTAGAGACTTAGAAGACTTTTTAATCAAGAAGGGATGTAGTGGAATATTGATTAACAGAACTTTGGAAATATTTTTGTTGGCCTTTGCTGATGACCTGGTCATTTTTGCTAATACTTCAATGGAGATTTCTCGCAAATTAAAAGCACTATCCCCTTATTGTAAACTAAACAAGTTAAAAATAAATATTGATAAAACCAAAATTATGATTTTTACAAACAAACAAAACATTATTAATAATATTAAATCTTTTAAATTCGAAGAAGGGTCAATAGAAGTGTCAATTAATTCAATTATTTATTCTCTCTACTAGATTTATATTATAATTTTGTATATTGATAGACTCTCTAAAGAGGAAATCATTTAGATTTTGAAACGTTGGAGAAAATAAAGTGAATTAAATGAAATTCTTATCCAAATGTTATCGCTATTATATACCTAAATAATTAAAATACTGCTCGGACGTAAAAGTTTGATTAAAATATTATTACTATTATTTATTCATTGTCCACACCTTTCGGTTTCGGACAAACTTTCGACTTACATCTTACATATTCACATATTATTACATTAATATTAAATTACACAAAATAATATTAAAATTGAAACAATCAGAATTTTATGAAAAAGAAAACAGCATTTATCAGTCTTTATTTCACTTTGCCTTTCACTAACTTTCTCTTCTTTTTAAATCAAATTAAAATATGAATAAACATCAAAATCAAAATACAGTATTTAACTCCTAAAAAAAACTTTTCATATTAACGAACCAAAAATACTTAATCTTTTACTAGCTCACTCTTCTTTTCTATTTCATTTTCAGTATCTCTAATCCTTGTCCATTTTATCCTAGCAGTTCCTTTACTTCTTCATTCACCTTCGTTTTCTCACGTTCCTTTATTATGTGTTTCATTCCGTCTTCCTGTTCTCCACAAATTCTACAAACCTTTTCCTTCCAGTATTCATTTTTTTTTATTTCATTTCCACACCTGTATCTTGCTATAAAACTTCTATTTTTTATGTTTTTTAATTCACTTGAAATATTTTGGTTTTTCTTCCCTGATATTCGTTTTTTCTCTCCTACGTTCCTTTCGTTTTTATTTTGTTCATAATTTTATCCTCAAACCTTCTCCTTTTTTAATGCTTTCTGCCTATTCAATTTCCATTTCGTTTATGCATTCTTTTACTAATTTCTTTTTTGATTTCTTTATCCTGTCCTCATATCTCACTGCTCTTCTTAGCGTTTTTTCTCTTATTTCTTCCAACAAAGTTCCACAATAATGAAGTTCACTTTTTTTGGTGAAGCACCATGTGCATGGATATGTACAACTGTCCTAATCAAAATATTGACTAATTTTAAATCAGCCGCTAAACTTCCTTCAAATAAATCAAAATTCAAAGCAGATCATAACTTAGAAATATTTTTGTTATTCTCTTTTGAACATGATGACAACATCAGCACAAATAATTTCTTCACTTCAGAGTCCACAAATTACTTTGTACGAATATTTTCTTTATATATCGGACGTTTCGTTTTATGATTATGCTCAAGGTCCGTAGATTGAACAGAAAGGCAAATCTTTAGGAATCCTCTACCACCATTTATACCTAACTTTAAATGAGTGTATGTGACGTTTCTCTCTTCCTTAATATACTTAATAACTGTGGTTACATTTTCACAATAAGCAACTATTTCAGCAGCATCAGAGAGTAAGCTTTTTTTAATATTTACAAATTCAAAATTTTTATAATTAAAAAAAATTATCAACAGAGTGAGTTTTTTCGAGAGTTTTGTTGCCAATCCAGTCTCAATTACTTTTCTATTTTTTTTTTAATCAACAGAAAAAAGTGCTTGTTCTAAGTATGAAACGTCGTTTATCTAAAATTTAGGAAAAAAACTTTAAAGTAATTTGTATTCCTACTTTTTCTTTTTGCATTTGAAAGAGCTTTCATTTTTCTTTCATAATCCGCTAGTTATAAAAAAATTTTCTTAAAAAAAGTTGTTCTGTTTTAAAAGATGTGAAAAAATGTGTTGAAATTTTGTGTTTTTACAATAAAATTCTTTAAAAAATTGATTTGAATACTATATATACATACTATACATATATATATATATATATATCTTATTCTTCTTTTAATCTTATTGAAAAAATGGTTTTTTTTCCATAGCAACATATTAATTGTTAATTATGTTTGCTTATGCGGAGGTTAAAATTTATATTCTTCTGTGGTATAATTAATCAATATTAATTAATTATAATTTATAATAATAATAATAATTAATATAAATTGCATGTTATTTATACTTAATATTAATTAATATCAAGTATACATAACAAATAATTAAAATATTAAAAAATTTTCCTTAAAGAATAACAAAAAACAATTTTTTTTCTCTTCTACCGGAATCAGGTACAAGTTAAATTCTTATAGAAAATATTTTTTACGGTGAAGACAATCCACAAAAAAATTTTGAGCAAACAAAGAGTGGGGTTTTTGAATAATTAAATTTTTTATGAAAATGGCCGCCTTTTTGTTATTTTTGAACTTTTTTTTAATTTTTTAGAATTTTGAAGATTTGGAAAGAAAAATTAAAGCTCTTACAAATGCAAAAAGAAAAAGTGAGATATCTAAATTACTTTAAGGGGTAACATCACCCAGAGCACGTAAAAAGTAGAGTCTATTTCAATTATTTATTTTAAGAAAACGGTACAGTAAAATGATGTTGGGTTTTTTAACGTAAAACACATGTATTAAACTAAACTAAAACGACAAAAAAATTTTTTTTTTTTAAATGGCACCTTTACATCACTTTAACCAAAAACCACGTTTTTTAAAACAGCCACAACGGGCGGAAGTTTTCCTACTTTCCATGAGTACCTAGACAAAAAATTCAAACGAATTATAAAAGAAGATGTTATTTGCTAGAGAACTACGTAAAAATATCGATTTTTGTCAAAATGGCATGTCACTTATGACAAAAATACCATTTTTCAAAGAAAATTCACTCAAAAAATAGCTGTAAAATGGAAACGCATCAACCAATTTAAAAAATCCTACGTACATCCCTAAGGAATAGTGTCCTGAAGCTGCAGTCAAAATTTCAAGTAAATCCGTTAAAAATTGTGAGAGTAATCCTTCCGCCCATTTTAAAAAATCTAGTTTCAAGAAAAATGAGTTTAAAGTTTGCAGTCATAAAAATATAAGTCAACACTTTAAAAGTTGAGCTACGCTCACGAAAATTACTACTCGTGGGTTTTCGGGGGCGCTGATTACGAATCCGATGTCAGTTTTTAAAAATTTAAAATGGCGGATGAAAAAATTAAAAATTTAACGGATGTACATGAAACATCTTGCTAGGAAGTTTTTGGGGTCGCTGATTACGAATATGACGTTAGTTTTTAATTTTTTCTTTAAAACTCAAAATTTCGGATCCAAAATGGTGGAAATTTTTTTAAAAATAGAAGTTTTGCTTGAAACTGGTTACTCGGAGGTTTTTGGGTATGCTCATTACGAATATGACGTCAGATTTTCAAAATTTAAGATGGTATATCCAACATGGCGGACTGCAAATTTTCAAAGTAAAGCTAAGGATGCCACAATCACTACCCAGGGTAGTGATTTCTGAATTCATTTTTTAGTCATATTAAATTTTCTTATTATGAAATGTGTCTTTCCGACGAAAATAATTTTTTAAAAACAGTTCCATTTTTTTCGACTTATAACTAATGGGATATTATTTCTAACACCCTAAGAGACCATTTAAGCAAAAAAACTTCGATTTTTTGAAAGTTTTTGGGTGATGTTACCCCTTAAAAGTTATAACACTTTAAAGTTTTTTTTCCTAAATTTTAGATAAACGACGTTTCAGACTTAGAAAATGAAAATCCTATATCTTTCTAAAAAAAAATTTTCAGCTAATTAAAAAAATTCGTGTCGTCAACAATTCTTCGGAATACAATATTTTTTGGATGAAAATGCATTTTAGTTTCAACCGAGTCAAGCATGCCTGATTTAAAATGAATTTGATCCTCTCTCTTTGAAAATCAAAAATTTGTTTTTTTTTCAAAATCGGTCATTTTTTTCTTCACTAAGAATTTTGAATTCTAAATAATGTAAATTATAAAAATTTTAATCATCCAGTTGTAAACAAATAATATTTTAAACTATGCAATCAATTATAATGATTCGACAAATAATTTGAACTGTTAAATATTGTAAATCGATTAATTAATTGATTTTTTTTTTTGAAGAAGAACTTCTAAGCATAATATGTTTTCTTTGCTTCTTGTGTCTTACAGCTTTTTCTATCTGTTCTTCTTTTATGATCTACAAGATTATTTTTTTTTGAGATATCAGAGTGGTTTCCAATGCATTTGTGTGTGCTGAACACCATCTCGGGTTCCTAAATTGCGTACCACGTTAGGATTTTAAGTAAGGTTTGTTATCGTTATCGTTCTAATCCACCAGAAAAAAATTTTTGTCAAAAAAAAAATATTCATCAAAAAATTACTAATAAATTCTTTATTTTTAGTGCAGGAAAAAAACTTTCTACCACAAAATTATTCTAAATGGCACCAAATGTCAAACAATACCTCATTGGATTTTAAAATATATACAATATTAATATTTTAGAACCAAAAAACAAAAAGCGTACCTTACCTTATACCATTGATTTGTCTACATGTGAGTAATGAGGGTTAAATTCTGGAGTAAGAGATGAAAAATAATTCGAATAAACATTTGTATAAAAGTGTATTATCATTAACTGTGTACAAAATTTGGAAAAATTATTTAGAACATAGTTTTTACAAATGATAAATTTTTCTTACATTAAATTAAAATAATGCACTGCATAAGAATTTCGTATTTTAATTATTCTAAGGTTGAAATGTTTGGTAAAAAAAACTTTAACAAAATATATAATATAAAGGATAAAAACTAAGACTTTTAAACCAATAAATTTAAATATAGCCACAGGAAACATTTTTACAAGATACTCCTAAATATTGACAAAACTTAGTACATTTTTAATTATGGCATTAAACTTATATATATATATATATATATCAAATTAATTAACTAATTGTGGTAATCACTATACTTGTTATATAAAATCAAAGAATTCACTTCCTCAAAGAATACTATTTTAAGAAAATAACTCCAGTTATTCTCAGGTACATTTTTTTCACCATTTTAAGTAAATGCATCAGCTTTCATTTCTTACTAAATCTAAAGTATTATAGTAAGATTGATACAAGACAAGGCTTAACAAGGCTTTTAATCCGTGCTACGTACGTACTACCTTTGAATTTATAAAGATACTTTCATTCAACTGCATTTTATACAATTTTTCTTTTTTAAAGAATATTTTACATTAGAACAAAAATTTAAATATGTAAAAATTAAAATTTTTTTTTTTAATTTTCAAGAACAAACACAAATTTTAATCAATAATTCTGAAAAATAATTACATGGAAGACAACACTTTTGAAACTGATTAAATAAAGTCATAATTTAAATTTAAATTTAAACTTTTGCTTTCCTTACTTTTTAACCCTAAATTTTAGATAGCACTTAGTTTTTATATCCATCATACAATTTCAATTCAAAGAATGGGTTCGTTATTTGGACGTTGATTTTCAATGCTTAAGTAGGTACACTTATATCACAGTATCAAGCATTTATCTTTTTTTTTTGCAAAAACTTGATTTTTAATTTTGGATAAAATTAGTTTGGCGTGTATAAACTAAAGACTTTTATAATGTAGAAAAAAAGTTTTACGATTTTAACAATTAAGAAAAAAAATAGTTGGCATATTCTTCTTGACAATTTCATATAAACAAATTTTACGATATGTTATTTTAAAAAATTAATGATGTAAAATACACTCCAAACCTGAGACGTCTTTGGCACTTAAAAATTGGTTCATAGAAGCTATTGTTATGGGTTGTTCGCTATTCTTAAAATATATTCCTGCAACATAAATGAATTAAATTTCAATATTTTTGAAACTTTATTAACAGATACAGGAAGTTTATGCTTTTCACAAAAACGATTTATGCTCTCAAAAAAATTGTAGTTATGCTGCAATTATACTTTCAAATAATGTCAATTATACTATTATTTTTATGCTTTAATTATGCTTAACATCTGAGAAATTATTACTTAAATTATTAAATATATCTAATAAATTTAAAATTGAATTATTGAAACGAAAAATTATTTTAACTATTATTAAATCTATTGATTGATACATCTGTACATATTTTCCGATTTCTATATAATATAGAATATATTTTGGATAACTTAAACTTAAAAGGTTGGCAAATATTTTGACAAATTTATTTGAAAGTTCAAAATTTTAAAGACTATAAAAATTATATTTACAACAGATTATTAAAAATATTTTCAAGAAAAATCAATATTAGAACTCTCAAATTAAGGGGGAAAACTCGTGTAAAACAAAATTTTTTTAGTTTTTTTTTTTTTTTTTTGCTTTAAAAATTAGTTTACTATCTGTAGAATATGATCCTATATTACTAATCTATAATTAGATGTATGAATGTCTATAGTAATCATAAGTTTAGCACTTCAGATGCTACCAAATGCATAGATAACTATGAGCACGAGATCCCTCTATTCTTTCGGTTTCCTGTCAATATAATTTTATTAATTGTCATTAGCAAGCTCCATAAACAAGTAATAGTAAATCTTGGTTTTAGTGCAATAGTTATTTTCGAATACATAACATCTTCAAGGTAATAGTTAGAACACTACATTTATGTATCGTAAACTTTATATGCTTTTTTCTCGAAACGTGTTTTTTCGCGCGCTGTGCAATGTAACTCAGCCAATTTATAACCGATTTTAATCAAACTTACTACAAATATTCTTTATCTTACTGGCTACTGCATGACTAGCACCTTTTTTTAAAAAAAAGTCATGCAAAGCGTATTTGCGTATTTTAACGGTAAAAACCTGTAGGCTGCACGGCGCAAAATCAAAGATGCAAGTTCAAACGCCTGTAACGCCGTCATTTTGTAATATTTTTTAATACAATTTTTTGTTATGAAGCTTATATTGTGTACTTTAAGGCATGCTTTACTTTAATTTACACGAGTTTCCCCCCTTAAGAAATTAAAATACGTGCAAACAACAAATACGTCCTTCTGTACTGTTTGGGCCCAGGCGCCAGATAACTTAAAAAGATTAAGGCTCTTTTCTCGTAATTGATGATTCATTGCTGTCCCTCTCTACAAGATTTTATCTTTTAATAAAAATCAATGAATATTGAAATTTATAATTAACCATTGTTTAAAATTATTAAAATTAATAATAAAATTTACATGTTTAATAAAATCATTAAATAACACTGTGTTACAAAAAAAAATATGACTTCAAAAACTTCTTATCGGACCTAGTAAAGTTTGTAAAGCATAAAAACTGAAAAGAATGGCGTATTTTTAATTGCTTATATACCTTCCAAATTTGATTTTAGAGACAAAAAACTGTTTTTTGTGAAAAAATCCTTGTAACTTCCTTATTTTTTGCCCTATTTCAAATTTTCTTTTTTAATTTTTAAGCTATAAAGCAGATCTTTGCAACTGTATAAATTATTTTTGTTGTATCTTCTTAATTGATGACGATAAAGACCAAATACTTTCAAAAATTTTGATTTTTTATTGATTTTTCAACTTTTTGATTAATTTGTAACTGTTATCTGATGAGACATACCTTCTTTCTTTTTACACTTCGAAAGTGTAGTCAATTCTGTTTTAAATGATCTCTAATTGGTTAGAGTTCGTTAAAATTTGTCTAAGTTAGCAGATTTTTTTCAAGATTCACCTTTAACGTAGTAACTCATAATACTTTTAAATCTAAATTTTTTTATATGAAAAAATTATGATGCAATTTAAATATTATAATTTATAAATAAAAATCATTTGAAATTTTATTGCTACAAAAAAATTAAATACTAATCTTCTAAAATTTAATTATTTACAAAGATATTAATTTAAACTAAGCGACAATTTATTTTTTTTCATTAATTTAATAAAATTCTTCGAAAATTAAGTTATTTAAGAAAATATTTAATTAAATAGTCTCTAAACCTGAATTATTGTATTCCCTAAAATACAGTTTTTTATAAACAAAATATTTAAATTTACAATATTTACGAAAATACTTCAATATTATGCGAATATTATGCTTCAAATTTAAATTAATGCTTCTATGCTTCAGCACAAAGTTCCTGTCTCTATTTATTAAGGTGAATAAAATTTATAAACTTTACTTACCGGCAATGCATTTGCGTTGGGAATATCATCGTGAGGTCCTCTGGTTTTTGGTGGCAACGTAGGTAAAATAGATTTTGCCGTGACTTTTAAATTAGGATTTTTTTTCCTCAGTTCATTTTCCGTGACTTCTGCAATTTTCCGTACTGCTTCGGCATTCATACGACGGTTGTCGGTCCATAAAGGACACCTACAATCAAGTGTTATTAATTTTCAATTAAGAAATTTTACTACGAGACAAAACTAGTATTAATGTAAAAAGAAATAATTCTTTACTAACAAATTTGAGTTTGACGATCCTTGTCCATTGAAATGTTTGTAATCTCCATTTTTGAGAGGAGTTGAGCATAAGTAGCACATAGAAGCACCGCAAACACAAGTCATCTTATTGCAACCCTCTTCTTTAAAAAATGGTTTCTGGCATTTATAACAGGTTCGAACAAGAGCTTCTGTCATTTTTTCCTCTAATTTAAGACGTGCCTCATCTTCTTTTAAGACTTCATCGCATCTTAATGGGACATGATTCAACGCATTACATAACCTATAAACGAATGAGTTAAATTGATCAAGTTCTTCACATTTATCTATAACATGCACAAGAAAAATATACGCGCACGTGAATGGTGTTAATTTATTTGAATTTTATAAGTAAATTGTATAATCGAATTCATTTCAGATCAGACAGGCTAACATCTTCGGATGTAACAACACAACACAAAGCTCTTTATTTACGAGCAGTAGCAGACGATATTAGGCGCAGACATATTGTGAAAAACTATAAAGTACATAGCTTTTCCTGTAGAGGCGTCCTAATCGTTATGGGACATTTCTCTAATTGATTTGGCGAAACCGTGGCTATCTGCTAAAGTGGAGTGAGTGCTCCTTATAATACTTCGTGCAGCTGAGCCAATTTTTAACCTATACACATGAAACTCACCAGAAGTCTTCTTCAACTTACTGGCTATGGCATGACGAGCTGATTTTAAAAAAAATTTAAACATTGTTTCTTGTAGATTGTATATAAAAAAAACAATTTTTTAGAAATTTTTAGAAAAGACATAAGTTCCAGAGACAATGTAAAAAATACATAACTCTCAAGACCATTTAGAAACCGCGTAACTCTGACAACATATTTGGAAACAATGTAACTCGCTTTTTTGAGTTTTGACTTTTTTGTCGTATTAGATAGAGGATAAAATTATCTTTTTATTAATTATGTGTTAACGCTATCGGCTATTTTCTCTTTTACTGTGGTAACAATTGCGTTCTTTTATGCTCAAAGTCGCTCGAAAGACTGAAGATGAAGCCAATATTAATCTAGAAGGCCAATTATACGGTGCAGGCATCGCAAATTAACGTTGAGTTCATTTTTCTATAAGTTTTCATATGTCAAAACTTTAAGGGGTTAGTAACACAACTCAGTGACTTTTCTTAAATATTTTTTTTTATTACAAAATTTATTTTATTTACTTTATCTGAAGCTTCCAAATAATAAAATTGCTGTCCTGAAAAATGAAAATTAGAGCTAAGTTTCAATAGTGTAAATTGTAGAATTCTTAATAGGGATACAAAAACGCTCATTAAAACTGATTAAACTCAAAATTTTGAAAAAATTGTCTGTTGCGTCGCATGTATGATTGAATGTGTGGGTAAAATTTGAGAAATGTAAATTTGAACCTTTGCGCTTAAATTCGCGCAGAAAAGAATTTTGGTATAGAAACGAAGTATATTAGTCAGTCTCACGTCGAACGATTAACAATACAACACTAGAGATATATATCTGTTCATGTCATTTTGATTATAATAAAGTTATATTAATTTATCAGTTATAAATGTGATCTTCTCTTTTACTATTAACCTGCTTAATGTTTATTACACTACGTGTCAAGAAAGCTCTAAAATCTAGCCATTTAAACCGATTTGGATTAAACTTAGTATATATACGTATTTTAGCGAGTAGATTAAACGAAAATTATAGCGAATCCGATTGGAATTGAATTGAATATAGTTATATTCCAAAAACTCGAAATTTCGGAAAAAAGCATGTCCCCCCCGTCTTAACATGTACAGTTTTGGAGTTAAGAAGCTGAAACTTGGTACACATATTTAATTTTAAGAAGATTTCAAGAAAAATATAGTCAATAAGACACCCCCTCTGCCCAGAATATTTTTAATGAAAAAAATGTTTCTATTATGTCAAATTACAGCAAATTTTATCTATTTTTTCATGCCGTATGGTACTTTTTAAATATTTAATATGGAGGACCACAAAAGTCAAAAAACTGCATAATCAGCAAGAAATATGAAATTATCTCTTGAAATATGATATTAAAACGAGTGTATTATTATAATTTATTTTTAAAAGAAAATACAAACATTACAGTCTCGTATGACAGTCTCTGGAGAGAAAAGTCTATTATTTTTGACATAATTTTTGTAAATTGGTTGAATTTGCTTAAAATTTTTGATATGCTTTAAATGCTTACTGTTAACTTCAGATGGAATGTTTTGAATTTTGCGTACAACTTCCAGGTTGAAGATTATTAAATAAGCTTTTGTACTTTCGTTTTCTGTGCATTTGCAACATTAACGTATTTATTACCTTTCTTTGAGACATTAATCTACTGTCCGTGACTCTCGTAAAAGTTGACTATTTTATGAACAGTTTTGAAGAGAAAAATTCTACCTAATTTTTATATCAAATTTTTGTAATTATTATTGTTATTTGTAATTACTTCTAATCTTTTTAACTATAGTTAAAAATTTTTTCTCAAAAATATTTTTTTCATTCGCGCATTGTATATTGTTTTCATACATTTAGCATAATTTTCAAATCAGTTTTTTTAGTAGAGTTTGTTTCTGGTTTTTTCAACAAAATGTGTACCGTTATTAATTTTAAAATTACCACTTGAAAAAATATCAATGAATAATACTTTATTAAACAGGAAGGTATTTCTAACTTTAAGTGCTATATCGTTAAGTATATAGCGCATTGGATTTTTTTTAACCAACGTCGTGTGTTTAAATGTCAAAGCGAGCAAATATAATTGTGAACATTTCTGGACGATTCAAATATCACAGTCTCAAAAATCTATATTGATAAAAATTTTTGGACGATTCAAATATCACAGTCTCAAAAATCTATATTGATAAAAATGTCGGAAAAATCAAGAAGAGATCGATGCATAAATCCATTTAAAAAAATTGGCGAAAAGGGACACGTTGGAAATGATTTAAGAACAATATCTCAATCAATGTTAAAAGTACATTCGGATTTACCAAATGATTGTAAAATATGTAGTTCTTGTAGAAAGAAAATGCAATCTAATTCTCAGCCTATTGATAATCTTGCTGGTGATGATTCTGAAATTAATAACGATATGGATTTTATTCAAGAAGAGTCGGAAACGCGATCTGCTAGAGAAATTGAATTAGAAATTATGCTTAACGGATTAAAGGTAAGATTTTTAGCGCTTGAACGAAACGATCCTTTAAGGTTAAAAATTTTAACTACAGCTCCAGAATCTTGGAGTATCAATAAATTATCAAAAGAGTTTATTTGCTCACGATCTCTAGCACGGAAAGATAAAGAACCAAATTTAACAGCAAAAGTAGGTAGAACTTTGGCTTCGACGACTATTGATGAAATAGTAGCATTTTTTGAAAGTGACGATAACAGTAGAATTATGCCTGGAAGAAAGGATACTAAATCAGTTATTTTAAATGGCCAGATAATGCAGGTACAAAAGCGTCTTATGCTTTTTAATTTGAAAGAGTTGTACGCTGAGTTCAAGACATCATATTCAGAATTGACAGTAAGTTTTAGCATGTTTGCTAAATTGCATCCAAAGCACTGCATTTTGCCTGGTGCTAGCGGAACACACAGCGTTTGTGTGTGTACGATTCATCAGAATTGTAAATTGATGTTGGATGCAATCGAATTAAATAAATTAACAATCAATTCTTTTGAAGCTATTAGTGACTACAAAGATTGTTTAAAAATTATAACGTGTAAAAATCCAGACTCTAACTGTCATTTGAATGATTGCGATAACACGGTGGGTTTTAAGCGATTATTATGAAAAGTAAAAATAACCCAGATTTTTCTTTTGGGATGTTTTCTACAACAAAAAAGAAGATGTTTGCAACAAAAATGAAAATCATCCATCGGTCCCTTTTTGAGAAAATTGATTTTTTCTACAAAATCGCATGATTCCTCGCTTTTGAATAGTTTCATGCAAATAATGTTTAAAATTGCATATATATATATATATATATATACTCTGGTCCAGGAGAAATCGATATTTTTCAGGACGAATTTGGGCCCTTTACGCGCAGAAAACTATAAAAGGAGGCGTATATTATTTTCCGTTTCAGCAAATAAGCTTTCTCTTTCAATTTCTTTTAAATTTGAAGAAACATGTTTATTGACAACTAAATTTTTGTTATCCATTTTAGGGTCGTTTAGATTTTATGGCATTTTGGTGCAAAATAAAAAATATTTAAATCCAAAGAAATAATTTTTTAAATATTAAATTTACCATTTGCAGATTTTGACGATTCCAACGATATAAATTTTTACGTCTAAATATTAAAATTTGCTTCTGGAAAAGTTATACGATTTCATGATTTACATATGTACAAACTCTAATCTTATAGTATTTGCAAAAAAATTTATACCGTTGTAATTGTTTTAACCTGTACATTGCAAATATAATATTTATATAATTATTTTTTGAAATTCCAACATTTTTTAATTTTGCAATGAAAAGCCATAAAACCATAAAAGATCCTTCCGACCAGGCTCGCAGGTCACAAAAATTTTAAATATGTTTGCTTGATTTTAGTTTTAGGAAAAGCAACACATGTTACAATCCGTTTCATATCATTGGCTATGTTTTTCAGAAAAAAATCTAGAAAACGCCTTTCTCACTTAAAAATACACCCTTTTACAACAAGATGCACAGAAAAATATCGATTTCTCCTGGAACAGATTATATATATATATATATATAAAATTATATGCAATTTTAAACATTATTTGCATGAAACTTTTCAAGAGCGAGGAATCATGCGATTTTGTAGAAAAAATCAATTTTCTCAAAAAGGGACCGATGGATGATTTTCATTTTTGTTGCAAACATCTTCTTTTTTGTTGTAGAAAACATCCCAAAAGAAAAATCTTGGTTATTTTTACTTTTCATAATAATCGCTTAAAACCCACCGTGATAAGAGTCCAGGAATTGAAAAGCTGTCTTCCAAATTACTTAAGGTACTTTCCGATGCTCAAATTAATGACGTACAGTATAGTAATTGGACTGGAACCGACAGGTCTACTCTGGAGACTGTTATTGCAGAGAAAACTGAGTTTGCTGACTATCTATGTAATAAATTATTAAAGCTCAAGCCTCACTCGTTTATTGCCAAACAGCAATCACTTTTTATTTCAGAAATGAAAAATAACTTGAGTGAAGGAGAAGTGATTGTTATGTTCGATTTTTCAGAAAATTATGCCTACGTGGTTCAAGATGCAGTGCAAGATTTTCATTTTAATAATGACCAGTGCACTGTATTTCCGGTAATTTATTATTACAAAGAAGAATCTGAGGTGAAACATACAAGTTGCATCTTTCTCTCAAACAGCTTAAAACATGATACTGCAACGATATACTCTGTTCAAAATTTGCTTATACCCGAAATTAAGAAAGAAGTTGGGATTTTGAAGAAAATAATATACATAACGGATGGTGCTTAGCAACATTTTAAGAACAGGTTTCAAATCACAAATTTAATTAAACACAAAGCTGATTTTTATATTGAAGCAGAATGGCACTTTACTGCAACTGCTCACAGGAAGAGTGGATATGATGGTATTGGGGCAACATTCAAAAGAGAAGCATACAAAGCCAGTCTCAGAGCGAAGCCAGAAGATGCAATTTTGACTTTTGAGGCATTATTTAATTGGGCAAGCAGTTATTTTAATAACATTCAAATTTTTAAATTTAATCAAGTTGACCACAACAAAATGAGAAGAAAGCTCAATAAAAGATTCAACTCTGCATCAGCAATACCGCAAATAATGCAAAATCATTCCTTTCAAATCTCAGAAAATCAAGAGTTGATTATAAAAAGGTTCTCAAAATCTACCGAAGGCAATACTATCAAAATTTGAATGCAGATATAGTCAACGACTTAAAGAACCCGTGACCATAAACATCCCATCTGAATTTAACTGTAAGTTTAAGCATATCAAAAATTTTAAGCAAATTCGGCTAATTTACAAAAATTTTGAAAAAAATACTAGATTTTTCTTTCCAGAGACTGTCATCAGATACTGTAATGTTCGTATTTTCTTTTAAAAATCAATTATTATAAAAATACACTCGTTTTAATATCATATTTCTTGCTGACATTGCAGTTTTTTTACTTTTGTGGCCCTCCATATTAAATATTTAAAAAGTGCCATACAGCATGAAAAAATAGATAAAATTTTCTGTAATTTGACCTAATAGAAACCTTTTTTTCATTAAAAATATTCTGGGCAGAGGGGGTGTCTTATTTGACAAAGAATGCCCCATATGTATTTACAAGCAAATTGAAAGAAAAAAAAAGGAAAATAATTTTTTTGTAATATTTATAAACATTTAAATAATCGTGAACGGAACCCTAGGTAAGCGAGTTTATCTCGCACTTGACCAATTTTTTCTTGTTAAAATAATGGCACTGCGTGAACTTAGCACCCAATTTTTTAGTGTCAATCACCAGAACTTACAATTGTTTAAATAACAATAACCCAGACACATTAAGTTTTAAAATAAATAAATAAATGCAAATAAATCTGATCACTAAAAAAAAATTGTAAAACATTTCAATTAAATTAAGTAAAAACTCACCGACAAGTTTCTTTCATACAATCTGGATTCAAACATTTGAAGACTTTACTTTCAACTGGAGGAATTGACGCAAAATGGCAAAACGGACAAGAAACAAGTCCTTCCAAACCTGCAGCCATTACTTCAGCTTCTTGTCGCTTTTGTAGAAGAATACTAAATGTTGTTGGTGGTAAAACTTCTTGTAGAACTGATAGACTGAATTCTCGCTTGCATTCCACAAAGCAAGGTATGTGATTTTGGCCATCACTAATTTTGCTTTCAGTACCTCTTAAAATGCATCCATGACAAAAAATATGTCCGTCTTCGCATGTGGAACATTTTCGTGGTAAACATTCATCATTAAAGCAACATTGGCACTCAAGCAACAAACCTTGTTCCTGTAAAAAATAGAAACAAAAATTTTATTAGATTATTCAAAGATTGTCATTAATTTAGTTCAAGATTTCAATTCAATAGGACACATTTTTGAAAATATTAATCATTTACACTACCGTCGGAAATTGTGCGACCTCTGCTTTTTGGACGACTATAAAGTGATTTAAATCTACAAAAATATTAAAACTAAAATTTTTTCCTTCTTATTTTATAAAAGCTAATAAAAGTCTGAAAACAATGATACCTTAAAAAAGAGAAAATGTTAATTTTTCAATTAGATATCTAAGAAAAACACAATTTTTAATGTTTTTGTATTTTGTTAAACAATTCAAATTATTTAAAACAATTCATTTCCACATACTTCCCTAGCGTATGAAAACCGTGAAATTTGTCTCCAAAAAAGTCAAAAAATTAAAGTTCAATTTTACAACAAAATGTAATGTTTAAAAATGAAGTAAATAGATCATCTTAAAATTCTCTGATTTATGTAAGTAAATTTCAGATTTACATATTTTACTGATCATTTTTTGTCATTTAAATATCAATCATAATTTTTTGACTATTTTTGAGCCAAATTTCACGGTTTTCATACGCTAGGGAAGAATGTGGAAATGAATTGTTTTAAATAATTTGAATTGTATAACAAAATACGATTCGAATAAGCCCAAGAACGTTTAAAAAAATTAATTTTTGACAGAGAAATAAAAAAATAGTAAAAACATTAAAAATTGGGTTTTTCTTAGATATCTAATTGAAAAATTAACATTTTCTCTTTTTCAAGGTACAGTAGAATCCCGCTTATCCGAGGTAATGTGGGGAAGGGACACCTCGGATTAACGAAAACTCGGATAACACGGATGAAATAAAGAATTTGAAAATTTTAATAATTTTTTATGTATTTTGAATGGGAGAATGAAATATGAACACAAAAGTAGGTAAAAATAAAAAAGAAAGTAAAGAAAAAATAAAATTTAAGTAAAAATATGAGCGTAAACTAAACTTTGGTGTTCAAAGCATTTTTCTACATAACATGTGAATCGTCACTAACAAGGTTTGATAAAATCTGTAATAGAACACTGTTTTAAGTTGCTCATTCGTTTTTTAGCCGCAATATCTCGCCATCGTTTTATCAATAAAATATCACTTGAATCACATTCCGGCTGTTCCTCAACATATTTAAGAGCCAATTCAAGTGCATTTAGCACTTCTGCGTGGCTGATTTGTGGAGTTTCTTCCACTTCGCTATCTTCTATATCAACTGCGATTTCTTCTTCAGAATTCACGAGATGAGCGATTTCATCGTCGGTCAGTTCCTGTTCACAATCATCCACTTGAATCCACTCTTCAGTATTGTTTCTGTCGACGTTTTCGCAACCAGGAATTTGCTCCATGATGTTATGAAGATCTACATCGTCTACAATTTCATCATTTTGATTTATAGGAGGCAAGATTTTTTACCATGACGTTTCGATTGTGAGACTTCGGACAGCATCCCAAGCTTGAGCTGACCAATAAATGACACTTTTCATTTTTATTTCAAGCAAACATTCTTTAAGGGTACTTCCGGCGGTACATTTCTCCAGAATTTCTTAAAGTAAGTAACGTCGGTAATGACGTTTTAACGTCTCGAGTACGCCTTGATCCATTGGTTGTCCAATGGAAGTCACGTTTGGTGGAAAAAATTTAACAATTATGTTGTCACTTCTGAGTGTTGACTCGTTTGGATGCGAGGGAGCGTTGTCGAGTAAAAGAATCGCTTTTCTAGAAAGTCCATTTTTTTCAAAAATCTCTCAACCAAAGGAACAAATTGATTAAAAAACCATTTTTTGAAGAGATCACAACTCATCCAAGCACTCTTCTGATGTGCATAGTACACTGGTAAGGCTTCAGGTTTAATGTGTTTAATCGCTCTGGGTTTATCCGATTTCCCGATACACATTAGTGGAAGTTTGTGAGTTCCGGACGCGTTACTGCATGCTAAAATAGTAACTCTTTCTTTATTCTTTTTATACCCTGGAGCCGCCGCTTCTTCTCGTCAAGCCAATGTCTTAGAAGGCATCATCCTAAAATTTAGGCCAGTCTCATCGCAGTTATAAATTTGATCTCGCGAGTATCCTTCTTTCTATACAATCTTCTCGAATTCTTCCTTAAATTTTTTCAATTCACCTTCATTAGCTGACATTTTTTCACCACAGATATTTAACTGACGAATACCGTGCCTTTTCTTCCATCTATCCAGCCATCCAACACTTGCTGTAAAAGTCTGACTTTCATCCGGAAACTGTTTCGCAATCATCATTGCTTTTCCCTGTAAAATGGTTCCTGAAAAGGAAAAATGAAAAGAAATTTTGGAAAAAACTATTTTGAATAAGTCTTCAAATTTTTTGATATTCAACAAATGTTGATTTGAAGATTATGAAGCGTACTCACCTGATACTGGCAATCCTTTTTCTCTCTGTTGAGTAAACCATAGAAATAAACCTTTGTCAATTTTATCATACTCTGCGGGTTTCATCGTTTTACGAATTGTCATCGCGTAACCGGATATTATTCCGAATTGTTCTAATTTTGATAGATTTCGACGCCAATCGCCCACGGTGGTTTCTCCAACACCATAATCGGCCGCAACCTTTCGAATAATTTCCCCTTTATCTAATCGTGTTATAACAAGTTTATGTGTTCATAAGCCACGGCACTTTCCGTATTATCCGAGCTGCACCTCGGATAATACGTATTGGTCAGAGCGCAATAGGTGCCTCGGATAACCCGGAAGCTCGGATAAGTGAAGGTCGGATAAGCGGGATTCTACTGTATCATTGCTTTCAGACTTTTATTAGCTTTTATAAAATAAGAAAGAAAAAAATTTTAGTTTTAATATTTTTGTAGATTTAAATCACTTTATAGTCGTCCAAAAAGCAGAGGTCGCACAATTTCCGACGGTAGTGTACTTTTTATTTTAAGAAAATTTAAGTTTCATTTATAAAAATTATTCGAATTCATAATTTCGACAAATATTTTAAATAGTAATGGAATTTTAGATAAATTTTAATTAAGGAATGTTTAAAATGATTGAATTGTTGTAAAATTGTAGATTAGTTTTTAGAAATAATTAATTAAACAAAAAATTTAAGTTGAAAATAATTACAATTATTGTACATTTAAATTAATGAAAATTATTAACAAAATTTTAAACAATAATTGAATCATAGAAAATTTTGAATTAAAAAATATTTTTAATAATTTAATTATCAAAGAATTGATCAAATTTATTGAAATAATTAATTTACCAAAGAATTTTAGATACAAATTTAGACAATAATTGACGTTAAGACAATTTTTAACCCTTCCACTGTCAGCGACACATACACTGTGTCATGAGAATTTAGGGGCCCAAACTGTCAGCGACACATAAGTTGTATCGTGATCATCCTAATATAAAATAAATGAAATTTTCTATTTAAATTGTAAAATAAATTCTTTTTTATCATTAGTTATTCGCACACTACATGTATAAATGATGTTTGGTTAAGTTATAATTAAATAATTATTTATTATTTTTAACTAATAAACAATTGAAAAACAAGTAAAAATCGCAAAAAAATTTTTTGTTTTTTTGCATTCAGAAACCCCAAAAACCCTTATATATACTAAGTTTCATAAAAATTTGTCGACCAGAATCTGTTGGACATTTTAAGACCTCAGTATCAATTTTTACTATAGCAGTGAAGTGATTAAACTTAAATAATAAATTTAACAAAGAATTTTTGATAACATTTTTAGAAATAATACAATTTTGAAAATTTTTAAGAAATAATTGAATTTTTGGAGATTTTTTATTAAAATTATTGTAAATTTGTGTTAATGATTGTTTTGAATAATTCATAGTCTCATTCATAAGAAAAGGTCGAGCAGTCTGAGATTAGCAAAATGTAATTTGATTGAAATATTGTATCAAAACTTTTTGATAAGTATTAAACTTTCCATTGGATAGGCTTTGATGGATTTTGAATCCAAATTCTTTAATTACATTATGTGTTAGAAATTTATTTGATAAATAATTAATTATTTCTATCCAAACATTTATTATAAATTCATCAAATTTTATGTAGAAAATGAATATTTTTAAAAATTATTCTCATAAAAATCAAAGTTTTATACTAATTTTTTGTGTAAAATAGGGAAAATTTTTAAAGTAGAGTACTTTAAGGGACAAATAAGGAAAAAGGGGACATTTAGAGAAAATAGGGGACGTTTATGAAGTCTGTATATAAAATATTAATTTTTTTAATATACTCAAAAAGAAAAAAATCGATTTTTTAAAAGTTGTCTTAACTGAAAGTACAACTATTTAAGAATATTTAAGAATATGCTCTTTAAATATTATGTCAAAATACAAAGTATTTTTCGAGTTACAGCTTGTAGAACGCAATAAAGCGCGTGGCCTGGCGCGCGAATCCACTCGCGGTCTCTAATACTTTTCATCATTTGTTGCGCTTATCTACTATTACATCTACCATTAAAATTACCATTTATCAGTAAAATGTCGTCTTATCTAAGAGCTACCCATAAAAAAAATAGTCGTTCATCGAGGCCTGTGACTGCCGTAAGTTTTTAAAAAACAGCACTTATATGTTTTTCAATCTTTAAACTCGTTTTTCTCAAAACACTGTTTTTGTAGTTTGCGTACACGATAGACAAAAATCTATTCAACCGATTAAGGCCTACCTGGGCTTGTTTTGAAGATAAAAAGTGTCTCTTCTGTATGAATTAAATTTGTTTTTGATAGAGTTAAATTTAGTGCTTTTTTTAAAGAAAAATGAGATTTTTTTTGGCGAAAATTAAATTTTTTTTAAAAAGTCATGTAAAAATGTCAGTTTTTACTTTCTATTGAAATCTTTTAATTCATACAGAAGGCAATAATGTATATTTAAAGAAAAAATTTTGTTTTTTTGTTTTGGATAAGAATTGTGGACCCTAGGTTGTACGCAATGGGAAAATTTCAGCAGCGAGACGTTATATATATGGCGTTTATTTTATTATTAAATTCTATTTTCATTTAATCAAAAAATTATATTTCAAAGATTTAAATATATAAGAAAACATACACTAAATCTCGCATCGATTTATTTAAATGTGTTTGAGAAAAAAATTCCTGAAATGTACGCAGTTTTTTACATTCTAAAGTAGGCGCCCCCCTTAAGAAACAAACACAAATTTGTAATTAATGTTTGTAGATTATACGAAAAAGTACTGTGTTAATATTATTTCACAGTACTGATGTTTAGTACTGATATAATGTAGTCGCAGTACTGAGGAAATACTAGCATGACCGTATTGACGTAGTAAAAAATTATTATGTACACGGAGAAACCTTTGGGTCGACAGTTCGCTGTAGACCGGTGCTTCAGCGCCACCACGAAATTTATACGTCTTATCGCCCATTTCTGGAAAGACTGTTCTTCCATGTGTCTTCCTAATTTTTGAGAAGTCAGTCCACCAAAAACGAGAACGCTCTGCGCCCAGAGAGGAAGAACGGACGTCCAACATAGTGGGCAATAAAAATTTTACTACTCTGGGCGAGCAGACGAACCAAAGGTTTCTCTGTGTACTCGATACAAGATCACGTACCTGATTCTTTACAAGAATTGTCGACAGAGTACAGCAATAAATATTCAATACAGAATACATCAAGCAAGCAAGCGTTAGCAATCGAGGAATATGTCAATACCATGACATGAAACTTACTTTCAGATTATTGAAGTCTTGTAATTCCTGTCTTTTGATATCCTCGAGATAAGTGACGATATCATTTTTAAATTTAATATAGGCCATTTCTTGAAGAAGAGGAATATCTTCAGTTGGCATCAGATAATTACTTCTCTTCCCTTTCATGTCCGGTGAAAGATTTCTTAAGTCGTTAGCTGTTAGACTCAAATGATGATTTCTTCTTCGATAAATTTGTGATATTGTAGCAACCTAAAATCAAAGTCAATAATTATATCAGAACAATTTTTTATAATTTTACAACTAAAAAAATTATTAAATAATAATTGAATAAATTTCGCGCGTCAATCTAAAATTCAATCACTTAAACGCTAAAATGATCTTACCTGTGTTTTCTTTAATGTTCCAAAGGCATCTAATTGTAAATGCAAGTTTAACTTATTTAATTTTAATAATTTAAGGGTATAAACAATTGCGATTTCTGCTAATTGACGTGCAGACGACAATGCGCACGTAGCATTCTCACGTAACCAGCTGACGTGATTCGTGAACTAAATTGGCTGCGTGAGAATGCTGCGTGCGCATTGTCGTCTGCACGTCAATTAGCAGAAATCGCAATTGTTTAAACTCTTAAATTATTAAAATTAAATAAGTTAAACTTGCATTTACAATTAGATGCCTTTGGAACATTAAAGAAAACACAGGTAAGATCATTTTAGCGTTTAAGTGATTGAATTTTAGATTGACGCGCGAAATTTATTCAATTATTATTTAATAATTTTTTTAGTTGTAAAATTATAAAAAATTGTTCTGAAAGAGATGTATTCCTCTCATTTTCCTTGACATTTTAAGAAAAGGTAGACCTCAATCCGATTATTAGAACGAAAGATATAGCAGTTAAAAATTTTTTGTTATTATTGCAAATCTCGTAAACTAACTAATATTTTAAGCTGCAATTTATGTTAAAGATTAGTCTTACTATAAATAACAAAATTCCAAAGTTTCATTGCAATCGGTTAACCTACTCCGAAAAACTCAAAATCTCACCTGGAATCGAACATTAATTAATTTAGCAAAGAATCAAGTCAATAATAAAAATTTTGACTAGAACAATATATTCAACATTGTTTGTTTTTTAGGATTCGAAGGAAATTTTCCTGAATTTTCCAGGATTTCTAGATTTCTAGGTAGCAGGGCAAACCTGCAGGTTTGCCACAAAATTAATTAGAAATTATTTATAATAAATTTGTTTATTTTTACTACTTATAGTGTCTATATCATGCAACAGTAACAAAAGAAAATAAAGTTATACATATACATATAGTCAAAACATAAAAGAAAACTAAAATACTTATGAATTTTTAGGAAAAGAGTACGATTAATTATTAGAGCGGCTTTTGTCAAATATTAGTTATAAAGTATTTTCGTTTGCTAATATTATTACGTAAAATAATTTTTTAAAAATTGAATTATTTTGAAATTTTTTTAATTTTTTTGTGAATATTATGAAAAATAAATTAATTAATTGTTTTTTTCGTGCTGGACTAGCACAATTTAGCACAAGATTTGTTTTTAGTAGAAATAACTTTTGAATATTTCTGGGTTAAAAAATCTTTTTTAAATTTAAGTTTATTTATTATTAAATATTTTGAAAATTGTAAAAATTTCTTTTATAATCTGATTTTACACAATTGTTTATTTTTAATAACATGGAATTGGCTTTTTTGAGCTAAAACTGGTTTTTTTACGTCATAATTATTATTTTTTCAAAAAAATGTTTGTAGCACAAATTAGGACAAGAAATATTTTTTTGAAAAAACAAAATGGCGTTGTTAACTTTTTGCAAATAAAAAACATATTTCTAGCACCAAGATACAATTTAGTTTAAAAAATAGATTTTCATTACCTTATGCCTCCGAAAGGTGTCCTTTAAGAACTCATTGGCCATTGGCTTAAAGGCGCATTTTCTGTCAGATTTTTCGAAGTGTTCTACAGGATTGGGAAATATTTGCAAGAACTTTTTTACGCTAAAATCTGTAGTGTAATCCTTAATTTGTTGATTAATTTTAATTTTTTCCAAATATTGCGCTCTAGTTGGATACACTGGATTCTCTAAATTTTTTTGAATAAAATTTTTTAAATTATCTGGACTTTTATAATTTTCATCCACAAATTTACGCAAAAATTCAGGATCAGCTTCTGGAAATATTCCTAAGAGAGTTTCATACTGCTCATCTTTATTACCGACATCATCGGATTCTTCACGAATTTCGTGAATTTGGTGATTTCCACCATCTGCTAATAAAACTTCAACGAACATATTTAGTTGCTGTTCAATATTGAGTCCTGCCATTGAAAACGGTGGATTTATACACTTTTCCTTAATAAAAGAAGGATCAATATCGGGGAAAATACTTCTCAGTTTATAATAAGTGTCCTTATTAGGAATTACTTCGATTTTAGGTTTAATGACTATCGTATTCGCAGCAAGTGCAGTGTGATGTGGCTGATTTACAGAACTAGTAGATGCCATTGGATTTGCTGGCATTTGATAAAATTTGTTTTCTTGATTCGGTTTGAGAAACTCTAATTTTGATTCTTTGTTAATTATATTGCTTTTATTTATAAATGTCTCATCATCAGCTATAAGATCATTAATTGGCGACCAAATAGAATCGTAATCGAACGTCGGCGATGTATTTCCAATGTTTTCCGAGGCTTTCGATTTTTTTGATGGAAGACTTCCATCATCGTTTGTCTCATCTTTTGAGTTCTTTACTTTTTTTATGTTAAACGCGGAAAGAGGATTTTGTAGAAGAACGGCTGTGTTGCCAGTTTCAATGTCCTCGGAAATGAATCCCTCTTCTGACAGTTCATTAGTTTTGGGTGACGGTAATTTTCGCTTGGGTGCCGACTGAATGATTGGAGCATTAATAATTAACTTTGGTGCTGATAAAATATTTCTCTTAATTATTTCGGGTTGTTTTCCAGCAATAACTTTCGGTTTATAAACAAATTGCGCTGGTTTAATTACTTGAGGTTTTTTGCCTTTATCATTCGGCGATAAGGAAGATTCTTTGCTACTCTTTGTAGCAGAGTTGGATGCTTTAATCGAACACTTTTCCGTTTTAATGTCTTCTGTATGAGAGGGATCAATTTCAAAAATATCAGGTTTCTCACTGTTTCGAACGTCTTCTTGTATTCTTTTTATTGTTATATCGTCGATTTTAGATGAGGCAAATGGAGATCCATTTTTCTTAATATTAAGAGGATAAGGATCATTTCCTTGTTTTCTTTTTTTCATTTTTTCGGGAATGTGAGGTTCAGGTTTATCTGTGGGTAATAAGTCCCATAGGACAATAGTGACACGATTTGTTGCCTTTCGATTTTTATCCAACATGGAGAAAATCGCATCTCCACTTATATCGGGAAAAAATCGATTAATGGCCTCAGTTTCCTCTAGCAGCTTCTCATAATTAACTTTAAAAGACACTTTAGAATCGAGTTCTTCAACTTCGCTATCATCACTTTCTTCAAGCTGAATGTACTCCTTACTACAGCTTGGTTGTGGTTCCAAACTATCTTGATGAGAACATCTCGTTTCGGAATTATTTGACTCTTCACTAGTAATAGACATTATTATTGGTGAAACTTGTCTCCCAGACTCTATTTCATTAAAATCTCTACTGCAACCTGCAACTGGACTCTTGGGCTGAGTTTGTTCACCTAATTGTATTTCTTCTAGATTATTATTATTATTCGGATCATTATTATTTTCTTCGAGGATTTCAAAGTTTTCAGCTTCTCTAACGCTGTCGAAGGGAATTTCGCTCGGTACTTCCGGTGGAGGCAAAGCATAACTTTCTGTTAAATCTTTCAGAATGCTTAAAATCGGTGGTGGTGATTCTATTTTGGTATCATTATCTTCTACTTTGTCTTCTTCGTAATCCGAGTTTGTGTAATAATTATCAACATCTGAATCATTCGATGCATCATTTTGAATATAATCATCATCTTGAAGGAATTCATTTAAACTTGCATTTTTTTCAGGAACTTTTGTTAGATCAACTGTTATCTTAGATTTGGAATCACTTTTTAATTCTTTTATAACCTCCACATCAGTACCATTGTGAGTTTTTGCTAAATTACTAGATGTGACCAAGAGATCAATATCAGAATCAGAATTACTGGATGTTCCTTCATACAATTCTTTGGATTCCATGATAATCTGAGAAACAATTTTGGGAGATTTTAAAATTTCTAAAAGATTAAATATCTTTGGTGAAGGAATGTCACGTAATCCAGCTTTTGTTAATTCATCCGTCACTTTTTGTAAATCATCAAATATTTCCTCGTACATATTTCCTAATTTTCCTGAAAAAGAATAATATATTAAACGATTTCAATATTTATGGACAATTAATAATTAACAAATACATGTAATGGAAAATTTATTAGTTCGAATTAGTTGAATAATTTAATTTAAGGAGTTAGGTGGTAAAAATTATTTTTTACCCCGAGTACCAAAAATTGGTACTCGGGGGTTTTGGAATCGCTGATTACGATTCCGATGTTAGTTTTTCAAAATTCAGAATGGCGGACGAAATTTCCAAGATTTACTTGGATTTGCTTAAAAATTGGTATTTATGTACCGGAGGCACGAAATGGTGAACCTTCTCATCTATAACCTTACCATGCAGATTTAAAAGGGCAGCACTGTGAAATCCGTCAGAATTCACTTTGTACTCGTTTTCAGGTGGGAGCACATAGTTACACCGTGCAGTACGGTTTAATGGAATTTTTAATGGAATTTTCTCTCCATAAGCGTTGAAAAATGACAAATCTGAGTCCAGAATAATCAGGAGTTAGTATGTAAACTATCTGCTATCTAAATTACTCCTGTTGAATCCGGTAGTAATCCGACCTTTGTATAACTAGTAAATCCGTATTTTTTTAAATAACATGTTAAAAATAACTTATTCATTTCCAATTTAGGATGAGGAACTGAACAAATATAATTTTCTATATTATAATTCCCGTGAATATCCATGTTTATAACATTTAATATTTTGTTTTTCCTGTGGTAGACCAGACCATAGGATTTTGTTTCGATTGTATTTGTTTAAATAATTATAATTGTTTTTGACAAATGTTGTATTAATGTCATTATCAATATTTACAGAACTAACCTTTTTAAACATATAATGTCTGCTTACCTAGCAAATAAAAACTAATTCAGTCGAATTGAAATGAATACACCCTGGGCTTCAGTGAATCCAGCTTAGCGACAAATGGCGACAAATTCGAATTCAGGTCCGGTCAACTCCATTGAATGTAAATGGCAACATTCAGCGCCTCTACCACCAACATAGCAACTAAATTTTACCCAGTTTGTATATCTATATTTATGTAAAATTTAGTTGCTATGTTGGTAGTAGAGGCGCTGAACGTTGCCATTTCTATTCAATGGAGTTGACCGGGCCTTATTCGAATTGGAGCTATGTTGCAATTCTCCTGAATTCGACAAAATCACTGCGTTCCAGCAGACACGCGGTATGGCGCATACAACGTGCTGGGCGTGCGGGACACGTTTGTTATCTGGGTCTTGTCATTTTTTAAATTTGTGGTCTCTATATTGGATCCGACATTTTGTTTTTTGAAAATCTGACTTTAAATTTGGAATCAGCAACCTAAAAATCTATAATAACATGTCCACGAAGAAGTATAAGGAGCAAGAAGACTAGAACCAGGAGGGGAAACTCCGTTGTAAAGATGCGGCGCGACAAACAAGCCACTAGAAGGCGTGGCTTATCGTTCGTGCTTTGCTATTCAGACGAATTTCAGTGTTCTGCGCATACTTTCTTGACACTGATATTTGAAATGTAGCAGACGCTGTTTTTAAGTTTCTGTTTATGCGGTTATGGCAAATGGTTTACCCATAAATATTTTGATGCGATTATATTTAATTAATTACACAGGCCTACAAAATTTTGGATTTTGTCAGACCCAGAAACCGGAATAGTCATTTTCGATGTAATTTGTCACGCTGAATCCAAAAATGAAAAGGAAATTACTCTATCACGTCAGCATTTTGAGATATTCTAACCTAAAAGCGTGAAAAATGAAGTTTTTGGTAATATTTGACACTCTATAAAATCAACAAAAAATTTTTTTAATCATTGGTCCAAATTTCAAAAGAAAGTATTATATTTCCCCTTTCAAAATTTTCTTGGCTTGATCTGATCCAATTTTTTTTCTCTGAGATACAGCCATTTTCGTTTTACATTGCATGAATTAAATCCCTTTAAAAAAGAAAAATAAATTGCAAAGTACTGATATCACTGAAACTTATTTCTCGGGGATTTTTGAGGTCGCTAATTACGAATCTGACGTCAGATTTTTGAATTTCAAAATGTCGGATCCCATATGGCGGACAATTTTTAAAAAATTTACCGAATTCGCTTGTCATTCATTACTTGGAGGTTTTTAGGGTCGCTGATTACGAATTAAATGTCATATTTTTGAATCTGATATCACATTCGTAATTAGCGATTTTAAAACCCCCTGAGTAACAACTTTTAGTGCCATGAGTACTTCGTAATTTATTTTTCTTTTTTTAAAGGGATTTAATTTATGCAATGTAAAACGAAAATGGCTGTATCTCAGAGAAAAAAAATTGGATCAGATCAAGCCAAGAAAATTTTGAAAGGGGAAATATAATACTTTCTTTTGAAATTTGGACCAATGATTAAAAAAATTTTTTGTTGATTTTATAGAGTGTCAAATATTACCAAAAACTTCATTTTTCACGCTTTTAGGTTAGAATATCTCAAAATGCTGACGTGATAGAGTAATTTCCTTGTCATTTTTGGATTCAGCGTGACAAATCACATCGAAAATGACTATTCCGGTTTCTGGGTCTGACAAAATCCAAAATTTTGTAGGCCTGTGTTATATTTAATTTACCTAACCCAGCAGACGCAAACATTTGCAGCTGCTTGCTACGAAATTTCCCCTTCAAAACCTACAAGGTTAGTATGCGCAGAATTCGTAAATTCGTTCTATTAGCAGTACACGAACTTAAACGACACGCCCACCGTGTGCACGTTTACCATGCCACTACTCACTGCGGTAAAGCGTGGAAGTTTCACCTCCTGGTTCTAGTCTTCTTGATAAGGAGACTTGACAGCATGGAAAACTTGTCCCTAGAATACGGCAACACCTATCTCGAGTATTCCGGTATTCGACTGTTTAGTGCGACCTCAGCGGGAAAATGTAGAATTAAATCGTGTTGTCTGTTACAACTTGGCTACACGTTTGAATTGAAAGCGGATAAAGGCAATTGATATTTTTTAGTTGTGTATGCGTGTTATTTTTTTCAAATCCTTCGATCAAGGATTACATAATCTTTCAATAAATGTAAATCCGTTTCAATTTTTGATTTTAGACGAACCAGATTCCCATAGTGTTGGTCACCGCAAACCATGTTTTTAAAAAAGACGTCACTTTAACAGGAGATAACTTAAAAATTATTTAATATTTTTAACTTTCTTATTTTTGAAATTCATGTTTAATATATGTACTTTTAAATAATAAATCGATATTTTGAAAAGCATGTTTCTCAAACCTTTTAAGTATGGATACCAATCATACTAATAATGTATGAATTCTGACTAATATTAATAGAATTTCTCTACTATAATAGCATGGAAAAGATTCATGCATTAAACGTATGCCTTATCATGCTATAAAAGCTAGTCTTTTCTCTCCGTGTGGACATTTGTTTCATTGCTACAGGTACGCTCTCAAACTCTCACAAAATTAATTTTTGCGACTTAAAAATGTAATAAAAATGACTTTGAGGTCATGGTGCCAGAAATTTGTCCAAAACCAAAATTTCCAAAAAAATTATTTTTCCAAGTAGGAAACATCATCCCAGCCTGTATGCCTTCTTGAGGAAATAAAAAAGAACAAGCCGATACAATACAATCTAACACTTAGACAATTGCAACTAGGACAGAAAATGAAAAGAAGAATTGATGCGAAGAAACTGCAAGCTCAGGAACAAATTATTAATACTTTATTATTATTATTTTAACGTACTTAAGAAGTGTCAGTTATAACGTCAGATTCTAAATTTCACACTTTATTTTCGGGATATTTTTTATTGGCAAAAAATGATTTAGGGTAAGTGTACCAATTAAGGCGCGTTCATGATAAATAACTATTATTACTATTATATTTAATATAACTGTTGCAAAATGATTAAAAAAAATTATTTTAATCTTTTTTGATACAATTACTAATGAAGATGCACATTTAAACGATTGTTAATTTAATTATTTGAGATCAAATTTTTTTCCGAACCGCAATTGAAACATTTTTAAGATTTCCATTAGCTCCAATTTTGGCAGGCAAAGTATCTTCAAAATACACGTAATTTTGGTCACCGAAACTGATACAAACGCGCCACAATAGAAAATATTTTAAAATATATTTTTAAATCTTAATAACAAGCTTTTAGTTTAATAAGTCTTAAATTGAGTTTATAAAATAGAAATGTGTTTTGACTCAAATCGCGCAGTAATTAGTACATTTACCCTATTACATAAATTTTTGGAAAATTTGGTTTGAAAACAGAATTTTTTGAAAAAAATAAAATTGGTAAAATTAAACTTTGAAACTGGTGGATTGGAAAAAATGACCCCCAATCCGATAAATTAGTGCGCCAGGTTAATTGTATTAAATTTTCTATTTTCATTGATTTTAGTTGAAATTATGATCATGTAAAGCCACTATGAAAAAACAAGATTACTTAATAATTAGAAGTAAAATCAAAGTGAATTAGTTAATCTTAAAAATTGTAAGTTCTTGGAAATTACTAAATTCTATAGAATAATTTCATAGTATATTTTCATGAGAGAATTGTTTCTTTATCAATAGTAAATTATTATAATTATTTCTCTTATATGAAGTAATTTCTATTCTCTTAGTTACTATGACTTTAAGAATAACATTGTCATCACGGTACTCAAATTTTACCCTCGACAGTTAGTTTTAGTCTGCATCATGTGGTTTCAAAATGTAGAGATTTACAGTAATTAGACAATGCTTAAAATCGCATAAATCCAACACTTTCTCATTATCATGAGAAAATAAAAATTAAAGTAAGATCTCGTAAAATGTCTCTAATAATTCCAAACAAGCACACTGATTGTGGGATAATGACATGTAAAACTAAGTGAATTTCTAAGTTCATTGGTCATAATATTATCGTTTAAATTATAATTTATTAAAAGTAGGAGGTTCGCGACATGATTTATTTATTATTATTATTCAATTATTATTGTTATTATTCAAAAACTATAAAATAT